TTTTTTTTCTTTTTTCTTTTTTTTTTTCTTTCAGGACAAAATTCTGTTTTGCGAGTAAAATCTGCCCCAGTAGTGATAACAATAAAACTGAGTAGCCCTTCTTTCAGTCATCGATATATAATTAATGGTGCATATGTATGACAAATGGGCTATTGAAATAATGGTATCCTTTACTTGCTTACTTTCAGTGTTTCCTTCACAGCTTTTCTACTGCAATCAAAATGAGTGAATTCTGCCAAAAGAGCAGAAACAGTAAGATACAGATGATCAAACACCTTAAGCTCTCACCTTTTTTTTTTTTCCTTTTTTTTTTCTCTCCCCCCTTACCTTTCTCAAATATAATAAATAAGTTTTACCCTCTGGAAGAAAAGGATGATGAGAATTATTGCCTCAGACTTTTAATCCTTTCAGCTATTAATTTGCATGTATTTCTTTTTAGAGTCTCTCTGGCTATTAGAGTACTGCGAATCCCCTTCTCACTTGCACGTGTCTGTCTTGCATTATATCACAGAAATACTCCCCTTAGCTGTGGAGGGTTAGAGGCAAATCTCTTAGTGCTGCTTTTTAAATTGCCTGGAGGAGTCCCTTGTCAGTGACATGAAGCACTCCTCTTCCCTCTCACCCTGGGCTGAGTGCACTACCACCTCCACGCTACTTCTTGGTCCTGTCTACCTGCGTGGGAATCGTGATGCTGCCACTAGTCTTGTAATGTGTGACATTTGACGTATTATACAAAATACAGGTAGATAGGTAAAATACTATTTTGTTTCTATGAAAACTGTTTCCTTCCGTTGCTATGATGTAATGAGAATACCACAGACAGGAATAGCTAGGCCTAGCGATGCTCTGTTTCTTCAGATCAGGAAGAAGATTGTTATACGTAGTGATGTTTAAATACTGAGTCATTACAGAAACATTTGAACGAAGATGTTACCAATGTTGGTAGAATTTAACTGAATAAATAGACATATTCTGATCTGAATTAGGATCGTTTTGTGGAGTTCCTGTGTTATTAGCTGCAGTTTCTCTCTGAAAGTTTGAAGTGTGCTATAGAAAATCAAGTTATTAAATGCAGTTAATAAATACTACTTTGTAAAAAGAGCACTTGAAAACTCATTTTGGGTCTCCTTTTGTCACCATCTTCCTTACTTCAAAGGAGCTTGTTCAGGAAAGAAAATGGGATTGTTATTGGATTGCTCTTTAAAGAGGAGCACTTACCAGGCTGTCACCTTGCTCATATATGTTTTTATTTAGTGTAGGATTTTACAGTTTGCATTTCTCTTATCCACCCACTGTGTAATTTGCATTTAGAAAAAAATGATTTCTGTAGGAGCTGGCATCAGTGTGATGGAGTGTCATATTACGAAGACTCCATCTAACTTAGTAAATCTGCTGTGAATTACTTAAGTATTATAATAATTATGTTTCAAACTGTTTATGTCAGATTCATGAACTAAGCCTCTCAATAATAATAATAATAATAATAATAATAATAAACAACTATTGTAATTGCTGCTTCTTAAAAATGTGTTAATTTGTCTTCCTGTCCCACCTTTGAGGAGGATCTGCTATATATAAATTCATAGTAAATTATCAAATCTTCACTAAACTTTGTACTTTTATGTAGGCATAATTTGATCCAGCCTCCTTTTCTCTGACATTCAGTTGACTTCTTTCCAGAATGACAGCAGATTTTACCAGCTAACCATTTCAACATCACTTCTTAAATAATTAACCCAGTGCTTCATCTTTTGCATTCCACTAACAAATTGGATAGTGACACACCACATTCTGGGTATTGTAAGTTTGCGGTGCATTATTCCTTAGCAATGTTTGCTACCTACAGGTTAAAACACCACTCCTGGAATGAAACCTGCTAATATTGACCTCTCTACTTGGGTAGCTTCATTAACTTAATAAGGACTAGACACGGAGCAGTGCTTGAAGACTGTGCTGCATATCTAGAGCCTAATTTTGTTTAATTTTTCACATAAGTACTGGTGATTGTGATGGCAACAGGGCATCTCTAAATATGTTCAATAATTTCATCAGGTAATTTATCAGTTTTGCCATTTGGTAGCAGCTAGAGTTTGACTACGAATAACTGCAGGGCTGTTTGCAAGTTGTATTTCTTTTGTAATAATAAAGAGACATGAGGTGGTTTATGGACTTGTGAAGTTAATCACACTGGATTTTTTTGAGTGGACCAAATGAAAATGGTTTGGTATTTGTTTAAACACTGTAGCTGACTATTTGAAAGCAAGCTATGAAAATCCTACACTCAGTCCAGAAGTTATTACTCAATTGAATAATCCCCTTTACTTAAGTGGGGTTATCACAAGAATCTGGGAAGCTACATCTCTGTATTCTGTGTGCCTATGATACTTCTCCTTACAGATACAGTTCTTCACGGATCTTAGAAGTTCACAGTAAGGGGCCTGTATGACTGAAAAGTATAACTGTGTCTGGCATTTCCTGATTGGTGTGTTTTATGTAGGTACAAAAAGGTTCTGCCAGCACTTTCTTCCTGGGCAGTTCTTTATAGGATGTCAAATTATTTTTCTGTCTGAGTAGTAATCGAGAGTGATGCTTTTGGCCCACAATGATTTGGGGTTTTGTTTGTTTGGGTTTTTGTGTTGTGGTTTGTTTTTTTTTTTTTTTTTGGCATTTGATAAACAGCAGAACACTGAAATCTGTAAGTTAAAGTATTTCAGTTTTATTATGTACAACTATTTAATCCATATGCTATACTTAAGAGATGTAGACAATGTGGGAGAGATTATTTTTAATAAAACTAAATGTTTGGTGTGAGACATCTGCAGACATGCAAGAGGATGGAGTCATGGTCTAAACCACTTATATACATGGACAATGTTAGAAAGGGGCAATAAGTGGAAGAAGAAGAACAAATAGAAACCCTGCTCAGTTCATGCCTTGTTAGTGTCAGCATCTTTAGTGGAAGTGTGTATGTGCATGTTCTTTTTTTAGGAAATTTAGTATAAAATGGTGATGAATAGCTTAACATATATAAGGACTTCCTTTTTAGTACATATTAAGGGCAGCTAATGGAGAGGATGGGCGTGTAACTGATGCTACCTCAGTAGGGGAATCTTGGCATCCAGGAATAACATTCAGATGGGAGGGACTCGTAGGAGTAGCTGGTTGTATGGCAGCTGAGTTTTGTTGTCCATTATTCAGTCTAAACAATTCTTTCATTTAAGAATAATAAGTCAGTATCATTGTAATATGCTTAGAACATAGAAAGAAAATACTTTTTTCACTCATAGCATTTTGAGGTATTGGAACAAAATGTATGAAGTCATGCATCTCTGTTGTTCTATTTTAACCACTTTTCCTTTTGCCTTCCGTAGATCTTTTTTCCTGGCTTTGAAAATTATTGTATCCCTCGTTAACCTGTGCGCATGTAGTCCTAAGTTAGTCCCGTAAGTTTTAGCAAAGGTCTAATTATTTCTCTGTATTTTTGCACCCTCCATGCTGAAAGCTCTAGTTTATTACATTCTAAGATGAAAATAGCTTATCAGGTTTCTTTTCTGTAAGGATATTTTTTCCTTCCCTTCTTTTATTTTCACTATTGTTTGCTGATTGTAACAGATAGAAGTATCCTAACACTTGTCATCCTCAGTGTTTTATTTTGGGTTTTTTGTTTCTTTTTGGAGAAGGAATTGGTGGGATCTGTGTTAGAAAGAGGAGCTTGAAGAAGCTCCTTCCTGATTCCCCCTATATATTAAGCCAGCCTTTGTAGCATATTGCAGTGCTGCTTGTAATGAGATGAAGAACCTCCTCTGTTATCTGCAGTAGTGGCTAGGTATAAACTTGTCAAAGCTAATGTTGAATATATATATATATTTGGGTATACTTCAAAATGATTTGTATTTACCATTTCCCCCACCCACCTACATTTTTTTTCTTCCACAGATTGAATGATGTCTTACCTATTTGTCTAAAAACTAAAAAGAAATATCTTAGTAATGACTGGCATTTTTATCTATGACACTGTAGTGGTAATTCCACAGCATTCTAACACATTAAACATACTCTGAAATGATATTTGCAT